AGTCAAGAGGGGAGAGGGGAATTTGAAAAAAAAAAAAAACAAACCAAAACCAACCAACGAAACAAAAAAAACAACAAAAAAACCACCTGCTCTTCTGGCTGGCAAAATAAAGCATCTTCTTTCTTAGGTAGCAGCTACCACAGACAGCAAGAGTAAACAAAACTAACATACAGAGATCCAACAAACACTTCTGACTAATAACAGAGGTGACAGATCAGCAAATCTCTTCTGCATTCAAAATGGTTCAATTGCTTCAGGGAGCTTTTCCCACTTTGCCCTAAACCCCTTATTCTATTGCTTTGCAATCTAGTCAAGCCATAAAATCGCACACACGATTCCTTTCTTAAATCTAAAAAAGGGGTGTATGCACTAGGTCATAATACACAGACAAGTATACTCTACTTTGTTCCCACAAATGCAGGCTTACATTTATCTAGCTACTTCGTATGCTTTTATAAGCATTTAATATCACTGATACATAATCAAATAGCAATTACCAAATATATTGTGGGATTCCCTTCTGTAGAACATCACAGGCACCAAATGCTTTTTTTTCATTATTCAGTTTTTGTATTTTTTTTTTAACTAAAAGAGCTTTAAATACGTTCTATGTGGGAGCAGATTAAAAAAAAATATTTCACTCTAAAAATAGTAACAAAAATAAAAGGGCTGGGGGAGCAAGCGTGACTTTCTGTGCCGATGTCCTCACAGGTCGATATCTCTCACATCTGTGGGAGTGCTGGCCTGGTCCAGTTCATCCACCGTCTTAGAAGGATTGCTTTGCTGTTGCTGCTGCCGGACTTGCCTAAGGCTGTTTACTAGCACCGCCTCGATCTGTTCTTGACAAGCTTTAAGGCAGTCCTAGAGGACAGAAAGCAAATTGATCTGTTAGCGGAGATAGTGCTTTTTCCTTACTGAGCTAGCAGAGGTCGGAAGAGCATCAATCTGATATTCCTGAGGAGTGTCTGCCATGACAGAAAATGACCTTGAATTCTCACAGGTAATCACTGTGTACAAAGTCCCTGGGTTAAACTATGCTAATGCCGTATTTATTAGACTCCCCAAGTTTCAATATTTTACCTGTCCTTGCTCATTTGTGTGGTCTTCTTAAGCAGGAACCCAAAGTGCTGCAAAAAACAAAGGGCATATTTTTGCATTCTCCAATGCAGCGTTAAGTGACTTGGGTGGGTCTTCACTACAAATAAGCTGCATTTTTCTCCTGAAATAACCAACATGTGCTTTACCAGGGTCACACAGACAGAGGCACTTTCAGTTTTACCATCAAGCAAATCAATGATAAACCAAAGTGCAGTGCTCTGTCCCTGAGTTTTTATCAGTCACGCATTTGGGTGCCCAAGGCAAAGGAAGAAGAAGGGTCTGTTTATCTGTGAAAATTCACGCAAGGGGAAGGAACAATGCAGCCCCAAATACACAGCCACATTACCATTCTCTGAGTGCATTCCAGAGAAGAAAAGTGATTTCAGCATCAAAGGAGGAGGAGGAGGTGTAGGGTACACTCCCACACCTTCACTCTGAGAGCAGGACTAATTTAACAGACACAGGAAAAGTTACTGGCAATAATTCACATAAGACATTAAAACAAAGACAGATACTAGAAAAAGGTGTAAGTCAAAAACACACAACGAAGCCTCAGAGACTACTACATTACAAATTATACTACGTAACACTTGGAGAAAGAGCAGGATACAGTACAGCAACACAAATTTGGGAGCCCTGTACATTAGCAATCTGGCAATAAACATGACGTATAAATAAACAAATAGAAGATTCACCACACTTAAACCAGACACAGCAATGAAGGCAAATATTAAAAATATTACAGTATGTTCCACATTCTTGATAATATGCAGGAAGATCAAATGATATGGTTATTTAAAGAAAAGCAAAGAAGTGCAAGAAAACATCAAACAATGGGTTGTAGCAGAAACTGAAAAATAAAACCCAAGCCATGACTGTTTAAACACAAAGCCAATTATGTGCAGTGTGCTGGGACTGTGACAGTATCAATACGACACTGCGTAGGTGAGCAGGTGGTGCTACGATAAATGGCTTTTTCTAAAAGCAGCCCTGAGGAGTCCTTCTGCAATACTGGGAAAAGATACTGATACTGTAAACTCACTGAAGCCTCAGTCTGCGTAAGAGCTAGGTGTCTCCCAAAGACTTCAGGCAGTAGAGAAACACAGGTTTTGGTAGCAGGAGTGGTACAGCGGAGTATTTTAACCAGAGCCCTGGCAGCACCGGGCAGGGGTGGTGAGATCCGGTATGACCATTCCCACTTTCAGGCAGGGGAGCTGAAGAACAGAGCTGGGCACTGACCCCCACCAGGTTCCACTGGTGCTTGTGTCAGCCTGGGAACACAGTATGGGATGTGACTGCAATGCTGGGGAGCTGGGCTCTGACCAACACCCCCTACTTTCTCTACACAATACCAGGTTATTCAGGAGAGTTTGAAATATTCATATATGGAGGTTTAATTTCTCATCCTAGCCAGACTGGGAAAACACGTCAAATGCAGAGTATCTGTTCTGCTGACGACATTTACGTTCGTGATGGGCGCAATTAGTGCCAGTGGCTCACGAACACCCATTTTTCTTGGCTACTGGCCAGCAGCTGCTAGCTGCAAAATCATGTCCTCTCCTTGTTGTGAAACTGTCCTGCTTAATATAATGAAGCATCAAATCCTTTCTCTGAAGCTGCATCTGCCAAAGAGAGGCCGTGAGGGATGGTTTTGCAAACTGACTCAAGACAAGGGGGTTGGATGAGATGCTGGCTGTACTAGAGATAAAAATTCTCACGGTGATGTGGATCATATCAGCTACAGCCAGAGTGAGATGTCACCGAAATCTCCTGAGTATCTGGGCTACCTGTCTGCAATCTGACTCAGGAGTTTGTTCCCTCAGCATGGTGAGTAACACCACAGCGAAACCGAGTACGGGGCACGGTGACCCAAAAAACCTCTGCTGCAATGTCGTGTGCGTGTGGCGGGCAGACCAAGCCTTCCCCACGTTCGCCTTTCGTCCTGAGAGCTGGGGACTGTGGGACTGCCTCTGAAAAAGGAGCTGTGGTCAAGTCAGTTGGCTTGCAGCCGTACCGTACCCACCCCAGTGCAGCCCCGCTACAAGCAATGCTTCTCACTGCTAGCAACGTTCCCAAGTCTCTGTCACTGGAGCTAAACTTTCCCACGCTTTACACTCTGCCTCAGGCTGGCTTTTTTATGGAAGGGGAGAATCCACAACAAAATATGTGCTGCTCTGTCCAAGGAAAGGGTTAAGGAAAGCAGGTAATTTTACCAACATTAGCCAGCTCTTAACCAAAGTTTCCAATTGTTGTTTTTTGGGGTTTTTTTTTTTTGAGAAGATAAAGTATAATTAGAATTCGGCACAACACGTGGAGGAGAGGGGTCACATACCTTTTGATATCCTCAAGAAATGCAGCCCAAGGTTAACCAACATACAGGGCTCAGAAAACTGTGCACTGAATTCACTCAGAGCTCCTATGATCAAGGAGTTCTGTGCTTTAGAGGAAGGTGACCGCCATCCCCGTTTGCATCGAAGCCCAGCTGAGCACAGGAGGGTCCCTGCAGGGGTGCATGGGAGCTCCCTGCCAGCCCAGGCACCCACGTTTCCCTCCTCTGGAAACCAGGTTTCAGGAAAAATGGTATGTATGTGCCATACTACTGATGCAGAGGCAGAACACAAATGAAACGTGATGCCAAAGGAAGCTGGGAGGGTTTGTTTAAGATGGCGTAGTGAGCACTGAACACTGAATTCAGGTGACTGGCTGTAGGGTCCTCGTCTCATGGAGCACTGCACGCTGCTCCTGAGGTCCAGCAGGCACCAGTGTAGCCCACAGTACAGCAAAGGAGTGCTGCAATCTCCTCCTAATAGAACCAGTCCTTGCCTGTACACTGGAATGACTCCTGTGTCAGATGTATTGCAGAGATCACCCCAAGCTCTTTGTAGCCACCTCCAGGTCATGCTCTGATTTCTGTCACTCCTGTAACTCATCCTGATGTTCTGTGAGCAGGAACGATGCCCTTGGAAGATGAGAGGTATCTCACGGGCACCACCACTGTGCTGCCACAGCCAGTGCACAATCACAATCACTTGAAACCAGTGACTAACCCTGGGGGTCAGAACCACAGAGCACCTGAATTGTCAAGTCAGCTCAGTGGGATGCAGGTGTTACTGGTGTACTAAAGAACAACCACTCAAGAGAAACAGCAGGAACACTGTATTGGAAAACGCTGGTCTGGGTGTGTCTGGTCACTGCTTCCCCTGCCCCGAGACAGGACACCAGCTCATCCCAGTGCCAAGGCTGTGGCCCTGGGTAGACCCACGTTGGGCTGCATCCCCGTCTCCATCCCCACACCAGCGCCCGCTGCCTTTCCCAGCGCCCCAAGCTGCAAAACTCCTCATGTAGCAACCATGCCAGCAGGAGGTTAATCAAAAAAAACCTGCAGAGTTACCAAACACGTGGCTCACGCATCGGCTTCATTACAGCCGGGATTTGATGGAGAAGGGTACACCTAAACCCAGCCCCCCCAGAGCTGTCTGACAGGCAGAGCAGCGGGCAGCTGCCCATCCCCGCTTGCACCCCCATCGGCTGGGGGCTGCCGTCTGCTGGAGTCCCGCTCCTGGACAGAAGGCAAGATTTAGTGTCCGAGCTTGCGCAGCGCAGAGCTGGAAGCCTCAGAAGTGAGACACCGAGGCAAATGCTTTTGAAGATGCAATAAAATGTGAGCACAGTCGATTTTCTGGTGACGAGATCCAGGACAGATAAGCAAGATTTTAGCACGCCTCACCTCATGGGGTTCTTCCTTTCCTTTTAGCAAAAGGTAAGGGGAAAGGCTTCTCTGTCTGTTGCCACTTTCCAGCTGCTTCTGGCAAAGCTGGTAAGAATAGGCACTTTTATTTGACCAGGTACATGTTTTATACAGCTGGGGCTTGCTCTTGTATTATTGGGGGCTTAGTGATTTCCCGATCCCGGAATTGCTTGTCTAACAATGGGAGCTGGACAAACTCCTTGGCCTTTCTTCCTAAGTACCAATCTGGCAAAAGCTATCAGAAACTCAGATAAAGGAAATCCCCTGTTATTAGCTTGAGCGGGTTTTAGGGCCACCTAAAGCCACCTTTAGCATTCACCTGTTTGTGAGAGGGCGATGTCAACAAGTCACTTCAAGGGTCATGGCATTTTCAAATGGAAGAGCCAGCAGGGGCACCAGTTTGGAGGTTCCTGTAACAGACTACACTCATAATGCTTTTTTTTTTTTTTTTTTGTATAAGAATCTCTTCTTTTAAAGCACAGTGGTGCACGATTTCAAAATAGTATGTCCTTCTGAAAATAAGCCAGATTTTTTAAAAGCAGCTTCAAACTGGAGGACTTAATGAGGCAATTTCCTTGCAGCCAGGCTTGGGGAAGGAAGGGTGGTGACACACGGAACACAGGGCCTGAGCATTTGGAGCCAACTCTGTTTCTAAACACCCTCACATATGATCACTTACACCATTACTATTTCTGATGGCCAATATGACGCTTCATTTAATGTATGAAGAGGCTAAAACCTCTAGGTAATCCTATAGAGGAATGCATCATTTTTGATGTCTTCACTTTGTACATAAAACCAATGAAGGGGCCAAGACTGGAATTGTCACAGTTTGCATGCATTTTATTTCATACGGGATTCTACGGGCCACTGATGTATTTTTTCTGTCATGTGTTAGCTCTGGTCTACACTTAGTTTTGTACTTAAAATAAAGTACCACTGAATTCTTTACAACAAAGAACACTATGGTAAAATGACCAGCATGTTGCATTCAGCATGAAATAGCTTCCCAAAA